CCCGCGCGCGCCGTCGACGCCCTCGCCACCCGACGCGCCACCGCACGCGCGGTCGCTCGCGCGCCCATCGTCTCGAGCGGTCGCGGCGTGACGCGCGACGGTTCGACTCGCCGTGCGCACTTCGAGACGCTCGAACGTCCCCCGATGCCGCTCCCCGAGCCGGGCGCCGAGCTCGCCGGACGCGTGGCCGTCGTCACGGGGGCGAGTCGAGGGATCGGACGCGCGGTCGCCCTCGCGCTCGCGCGAGCGGGCGCGCGCGTCGTGTGCGCGGCGAAGAGCGGTGGGGCAACGTCGACGTCATCGCTTCCGGGTGACGTCCACGGCGTCGCGCGCGAGTGCGGGAACGGCTCGATCGGGGTGGTGACGAACGTCTTGGACGAGCGATCGATGATCGCGTGCGTGGAGACGGCGGTGCGGACGTTTGGACGAGTGGACATCTTGGTGAACAACGCGAGCGCGCTGTGGTGGCAAGACATCGAGGATACGCCGACGAAGAAGTACGATTTAATCAACGGTGTGAACTCGCGAGGAAGCTTCATCATGACGCGAGAGTGCATGCGGGTGATGAAGAAGGGGGGGTACGGACGGGTGATCAATATGGGACCGCCGATTCCTGACGCGAGTCGGTTTCGAGAGTACGAGACCAAGACGGCGTACTACATCTCAAAGTGCGGAATGACCATGGTCGCGCTGGGGGCCGCGGCAGAGGGGCGGAAGCACGGGATCACTGGGAACTCGCTCTGGCCGGCGACGATCGTGGAGAGCTTGGCGAGCGAGAACTTTCAGCTCGGCGAGCGCGATAACTGGCGCAAGGCGGATATCTTAGCCGACTGCGTGGTACAACTATGTCTGGATGGGAACACCACCGGTCAAATGCTCATCGACGACGAGTATTTACGCACTCGCGGGGCGGTGGACGAAGACTTTGTGAAGTATCGGTGTAATCCCGACGTTGAGCCTCCTAGACTTCTCGCGCCGGGATCTTCCGTTGCTGGTTGGGACGTACGACGAGGCGACGTAAAGGCGCTCGCGAAGGACAAAGCACGCAGCAAATTGTAAACAATTCGTATTCATTCTACATTAGTCGGCCTTCACGCGCGTTCGCCTGGATAGTTTGCGCGTGAGCCATGCGAGGACGCAGACTGGGATGAGGAGCTTAAGCGCGTACACACATGCGAGCCAAGCGAAGAAGAGCACGATGCGAACTGCTCGCATATTCGGGCTCAACTCCAGCGTCTCGTTGCAACCAGTTCTATCGAACCCGAGATCTGGCACATTCAACTCGAATTCCCTGAATGACATCGTCTCTTGGAGCACTGTTTTACCGCCCGTGCTCTTGACCCTAGTAAAAATTACGCCTCGCGTCCAGTCAACCTCTATCTCTCCATAGTTGATGTCCGTCCAGCGCGTGAACGATGGCAAAATCCAAGATCCGAAATATTTAGGTGTCGCCCACACTAATAATGCTGCTAGTACTCGAGGTTTTGCCTCCCTGAAGGGTGTATGCGTGAACCCACTAGACGTGACGTCGATGGTCTTGTAGGGCAGATGACAACCAGGAGCGCTGACAGCAATTTGACCGTGATGGACGTCGCCCGATATGAATATCACCTTTGCGTTCGCACGCTTGATGGCGTCGAACAGACGCGTCTGATCACGATGCATCCTACTCCAGCTCTCTAAGCCCTCAGCGACAAGACGCGCGGGCTGGACGTATGGAGCGAGCGGCCGAAGCATCAGGTGCGGCGCCTCCAATACTTGGATTCCACTCGCCAAGATGGTGAAAGCGGGCTTTGGTTCCGCCGCGAGCTGTTCATCGAGCCACTCCCATTGTTGCTCACTCATCATTCGTCCCTCACTCGACTCATCGGCCTCCTCCAGGTCCCAACGAAGGTCGAGCAGAATGAGCCGCAACCTGCGTCCGGCGTGCACGTAATCCACCGAGTCGTACACCCCACCCTCGCGCTTGCGTCGCTCGCTCTCCGGAGGCTCGTCCAAAAAGTCCAAAAATGCATTCCTGGCGAATTCCTTGTGTGGCCAGTGCTTGCCTGCGTTATTGAATCCGTAATCGTGATCGTCCCACGTCCCCGTCACGTGCGCCGTCGCCCGAACCCGCGCGTACGCCGGATGTCGCTTCACAAACTCAAACGCCTCCGCGTGTGCCTTCTCCCCCAGGTATACCCTTCCTTTCTTCCCGTTCGGCATTCTTCCCGTTCGCGCGTCGGCGTACACCGCGTCCCCGATCCACGCGAACGCGTCGTACGCCTCGTTCGCCACGTCCTCCCACAGCGACATGTCATGCGTTTGTCGATTACACGACCCGAACCCTAACCGAAACGATTCCCCAACGCGCGTCACCGCTATTTCCCTGCGTCATAGCTCCATCGTCGCCGCGTCAGTCGTCGCGCGCTCGTCCCTCGGCGTCCGTCGAAACTATCCGAGTCAGCGCGCATCGACCTTTTCCGGACACAAACATCGCGTCGTCGCACCTCGGTCCGAGCGCTCCCGCGCGCTCGATCCCACCGCACGTCGCGACAAACGCGAGCACCGCGCGCCAGCGCGCGCGCCGTCGTCGCTGGACCTCGCGCGCCATCGCCGCGGCGAGCTCTGACGCTCGCCGTCGGAAGGTGTCGAAGACGCGCATCGCCGACGTCACCGCTCGACGCGCGACGCGCGCGATGTCCCGCGACGACGCGCGCGCGCGCGATCTCGGATGGCGCGCCGGGTCCTCGGCGATGCCCGCGAGGGCGCGAGCGATCGAGAACGTGAACGATGCGTCGATGATTCGTCTTCGGTCCACCATGCTGTCCGAACGCGCGCGCGCGCGCGCGAGCGGCGGGCGACGGAGCGCGAACGCGGACGCGTCGATCGGGTCTCGAGCGGTGGGGGCGCTGCGGGTGCGAGAAAACGCGCGAGGAGGGGTTGGAAGACGCGCGGACGACGGCGGACGGAACGCGGGCGTGGACGCGAGAGCCGCCGCGGATCGCGAGGCGCGGGTCGCTGGGCCGTCGCAGACGTCGAGAGGCGTGCGAGAGGCGTTGGAGCGCAAGGCGGAGGCGTACGAGCGATTGGTGAGGGGAGAGGACGATGATTTCGAGGCGAGGGAGGATGAGCGCGTGGTGGATTTCGCCGCCAAGGCGGACGCGCGACGGCGCGAGCACGATGATCACGACGGGATGCGTCCAGGAATGGGAATGATGAGCGATGACATGCGCCGCGAACTTGAGCGTCGCGAGTGGGAGCGTGCAGTGGACGAGGAGGAGCGCGAGAAGGAACGCGCTGCCAACGCGCGTAGAGTCGTCTTTGACATCGAGCGAGAGACCGAACGCGAGCGAGACGCCAGGGATGACGCCAAGCGCCAAAGAGAGGATGACGACGCCGCTCGTCGAGAACGTCTCAAGGCAAAGTTTCTGCGCGACTTGAAGTCCGGCCGTCGTAAACTCGCAAAGTAGGTCGCATTAGAGCATTTTATTTGCGCGAAAAGTTAGTTCACACGGGCGCGTCGCCCCAACCAAACGCCACTTCGCGCCCGTTCGTCTCTCACCGCCGTCGCCGCCGTGATGTCATCCGACGTCATCGCCGAGCAGCTCTCGTTCGACGCGTTCGAGCGCGCGTTGACGACCGTTTCGAACGCGCCGTCGACGAGCACGCGATTCGTCGAGCCGCCCACGCTCGAGGAATCTCTCGAGCGCGTGCGCTCGCACGGCGTCGTCGCCGACGCCGCGGACGCGTACGGGGCGTACGTGTCACTCACGCGAAGTGGATTGTGGCGGGACATCGCGCCTAGAAGAGACACGCGCTCGGGAGGGTTGATTTACTTGATGTGCGAACCGCGAGAGACGCCGACGGAGCGGCGAAAAGGCGAACCGCGAGAGAAACGATCGAGATCGATCGCGGTGCCGTTTGCGGTGACTCGAGCGTGCGTGACACCGGCGTTCTTGGACGTTGCGCTGTACCTGGGAGGTGCGTGTTCGGTGCATGCCGCGATTCGCGCTCGGACGACTGACGGAACGCTTCGCTCTCGCCTCGCGCAGCGAACGACGCGTGGCCGTGGACGTCCTCCACTGATGCCGGCTCGGAATCCGAGCGCCCGACTCTACTGGTGATGATAGATTCCGACGGTACGACGACAACGAGTCGATTATACGACGGTTTCTTACCCCCAGCCGACGTCCCGGAGAAAACCGGTGACGGCGACGATTCGGACGATGACGGCGATGACGCGACGCGGCCGAACGCGAACATCACGAAGGCGAAGACGATCGCGAGCGACGGTGAATCCGACGAAGACCTCCTGGATGACGATCGGGCGCTCACGCTCGCCCAGAAACACGCTCGACCGGACGCCGCGTCGCCCGTCGATCCGTAGCGTAACGTGGAGTCCCGACGTCCCGACTCGATAGAATTTCTAGACTCGTAATGAAAGCACATACGAACTTCAACAAACCTGTCGTCGGACGGGAAGACGCGCGCGCGCGCGTCGCATCCTCCGTCTCTTTGCGACGCGTCGACGCACGGTCCGTAGCCATGGGACGCGAATCCAAGCCCGCTGATGTTATCACGCGCGAGTACACGATCAACCTCGGGAAGGCGATCACCGGCGTGACGTTCAAGAAGCGCGCCCCGCGCGCGGTGGCTGCGGTACGTGAGCCCTAGAGCGCAATGCGATCGTCGCCGCAAACGCGACGTTCGAGACGCGATCGCGAGTTTTCTTGGCGACTGTGGATGCATGTGAATCCATTCTATGCATCGATGGCGTCTCAATCGATCGATCGCCGTCGCGGGATCGAACTCGGCGCGATCATGACAACACAGACTAACCTGGATTCGTTCTCGCCCCCGCGTAGATTAAGAAGTTCGCGCAAAAGACGATGAAGACGTCCGATGTGCGCATCGATGTCAAGCTTAACAAGGCGGTGTGGAGCAAGGGTATTCGTAACGTACGTTTTGAGCGTTTGAGTGCGCGTTCAGCCGTCGCGATCGCTCGAAAGGGCGATCTCACCGCTGAGGCTGCTTGACCCTAGAAAGGAAGACTGACCCGCTTCACCTTTTCTTCGCGCGCGCAGGTCCCGAAGCGTATTCGCGTGCAAATCTCCCGCAAGCACAACGACAACAAGGACGCGGACGAGGATCTTTACTCCTACGTCACCGTCGTCGACACCCCGAACGGATTCTCCGGCTTGGGCACCGACGTCATCGACCACGAATAAATTCGTTTGTGTGCGCCATGTTTTAGAATAGGAGTTTGTGCGGAGAATGATCCTGTGGGGCGATGGATCGGTGAGGAAAGGAGTTATGTAGATGTGTTGTGATCGAACAGAACTCTTTTCAACTATCGCAAAGACTAGGAACTATAGGTGCTAGGATACCGCTCGGCGCGACGAGGTTCGACACAACGCGACGCGCACTCAGCTCGTGATCTCGTACGTCGACAGCTTTACCGCCATAACTTTACGCTCGAGATTTAGATAATCATCCGTCGAGGACGTGACGCTGACGATGGAGTGACGATCGCGTCCCTCGTATCCCGGTATGAGCGACGGATTTTCCATCAACGACATGAACCGCTCGTGATTCTTAGGAAATCTTCCGGGTGGATCGGCGAGGATAAACACACCGCGAGCGCGTTTATTTCCATTCTCATCACCTTTACCGTCATTAACCTCGTCGCGTCCGAACAGACGCATGACTAAAGTCGCGATGGCGTCCACCGCCTCTGGCGTGTACAACACGTCGCACGCCAACACCACGTCGAAACCCGTCGGGGCGAGCTCTGGCTCAAACCAATCCACTTTCGCCGCCGAAACGATGCAATTCGATCCACAATCGTCGACGTCGTCGTACGTCGGCACCGGCGGAAGTTCCACGTCGTCCGGCGCGTTCCACTCGCGACTCAACTCCCGAACGTCCCGCACGCCGTTCGCCCGACATCCAGCCAGCGAGCACCACAGCGCGCGTTCCTCTCGATCGCTCATCACCACCTCCCTCGCCCCCGCCATCGCGGCCGCTATGCCCGCCACCCCTAACCCACACCCAAGATCGATCACGCGCTTTCCGCGAACCAACTCTGGTCGCTCGAGCACCGCGCTCGCGAGCGCCGCGCCGCCGTGCCACAGATCCGCCCAGTGCGGATCGTCGTTCGGCCGTCCGAGGGCGCTGTACACGTCCACGACCGATGCCTCGCTCGTGGGCATCACGAGCTCGATCGTTCGGTCGCGTCGAAGTCGCAACGTCCGTCGCTCGAGGTCGAGCGCGATGTGGTCGCTCAGCGGGTGCGGGAGCTCCATCGCGCGCCCTCGCGCGCTCTCGCGTCGGCGCGCTCGATGGAGACCACGGACGCGCGGTGCGTCACGCATCGCGCGCGCGAACGCGGCGACACACGGGCGCGCGCGCGTCGTCATTCCTCGACGCGCTCGCATGTGCGGTCGAGTCGCCCTGGCGTCGAGGGACGCCGTCAAGGCGTGCGCCGGGGTCGATCGCGAGCTCACGAGCCCGACGCCGCTCGAGCGCGACGGCGAATGGGCGCGCGCGGGCGGGCGGAACGCGTCGCCGGGGTGTGCAATCGCGGCGGTTCGTATCGCGGCGGTTGAAGCGGACGATGACGGTGCGTCCGCGAGGCTGGCGCGGGCGACGGTGGGCGATAGACGCGCGTGCGCGATCGAGGACGTCGTGTGGGGCGTGCGCTTCGATTCACGTCGAGGCGGGAACTTCGAGCGGTCGTTCAACGCGCGGGTGGAGGGTTTGCTCGGCGGCGACGAGAGCACGTTCGCCGCAAAGTTGGCGAAGACGGTGAACGGTAGGTGCGTCGTCTACGTCGATGGGTTCTACGAATGGCGAGAGGAGGGACCGAAGGGGGCGAAAACGCGGGTGAAGCAGCCGTACATGGTGCGACGTGCTGATGGGAAACCGTTGGCGCTCGCGAGCGTGTTGACGCCGGAGAAGGCGCGCTCGGACGCCGTCGACGACTTCCCACGCAGAGAGGCCGCGGTGATCACGATGCCATCCGCCGGGGGCGAACTTGCGTGGTTGCACGATCGTCAACCGCTCTTTCTCTGGAACGATCGCGATTTCGACGAATGGCTGTTCGGCGACTGGGCTCGAATGGCGCGCGAGCGACGTGCCAAAGACGTCAAGGGACTCCTGCAATGGCACCCGGTGACGACGAAGATCAACCACGCCGCATACGACGGCGAAGATGCATCGGCGCCTGTTAAGCGCGCCGTCGAGAAGGATGCCGGAAGTGTCGCCGCCCTCTTCGCCGCGGCGACGAAGAAAAGAAAAGTCGACGACGAGACCGCCGTTCAGATCGACTGATACGAACGCACACTGTACCAACACCAACGCGCGCGATAAAGAAAATATGTATTCGATTGATTTGATTAGTTACAAAACCACGGAAGCGTCACGCATCGCGGTCGAGTCGATCGCTCGCAAACCTCCGCGCGCTCAAACCGTCTACTGCTCCCCCGTCCACGGCGCATCACTCCCACCGCCACGTCCGGGATTTTCCGTTCGAAACGTCTCCGCGCTCTGCAACTCTGCGCTCGGCGCCGCCGGCGTCGCCGCCTGCGCGCGCGCCTTTTCCTTCGCCTGCGCCAAGATTTCCGCCTTGCGTCGCTCCTTGGCGCTCAGCTTGCTCGCGTACGAGTCATCGTCACCCGCGCGCGCCGATCGCGCCGCGAGCGTGATCGACGCCAGTCCGAACGCGATCGCGTCCCGTCGAGCGAGGTCTCGAGCGCGATCACTCGACGCCGTGACGCGCACGACGCGATGCGTGTTCGTTCGAGGTTTGCTCGAACGCGCGCGCGCTCGAGCGCGTTGAGCGCTGAAGCGCGGCGTCGCGAGGGACGACGACGCCGTGGATCGAGCGAACATGCTCGCGTGCGTGCGTTTGAACGTTCGCGACGCGTTGGACGTCGGTCGACGACGCGTCGCGGAGGGGAAATGGGGAGAATCGTAAAGCTGACGTGGAGGTCACGGCGCGGGAGACCGGCGGCGCGGACGGGTCGAGCGGACGGAGAGGGCGATCGAAGTGCGCGAACGTACAGTGGAATGAATAATCAAAGACTCAGTTGCTACGTCGACGTCGCCCGGCGTCGAACGGAGAAATAATGGGGCTTGGGTTGGTTCAGGGATCTTCGGGAAGCTTGCACTGCGGCGCCTCCTTCATGCTCGGGATGTGCGCGCCCTCGGTGACGAGACCGACCGAGGCGCGGCGAGCGAGCTCGAGCTCGTCGCGCTTTTCCTTACGCTCGGCAGCGATAACGACCTTTTCGAGCTCTTCCAGTCCGCCGGGAACGGCCGCGAGCTCTTGAATACCGAGGAACAGACCCCAGGGGACGCCCTCGAAAGCTTCGGTGTGATGAATGGTGTGTCCAGCGGCGATGCGGCGCATCACGGGGAGCTTCCCGAGCGGACCCGTGGGGAATCGCTTGTGCACGAGACCATCGTGAACGTACATGTACGCGATTCCGAAAAGGGTGATCCCGAGACCGGCACCGAAGCACAGACCACCGAACACGCCCGGGGTGAAGAAGCCAAAGGCGCACAAAGCGAAAGCCGGGACGCCGTTCATCAGCGCGAAGACGTCGTTCGCTTCGAACGCGCCCTCCCGAGGGAGGTGGTGAGACTCGTGCAAGAGCCATATCGGTCTGTTCCACTCCTGTCGATACTTGTTCGACATGGTCCACCAAGAACCGTGCCACAAGTGCTTGTGCGCGTACCGGGCGTAAAACTCCATCCCGACGGCTGCGCCCGCGATGAGCGCGAGCTGCGCCACGAGCTCAGCCACGGGAAACACTCCTCCATTCACGTCCACCTCACGCAAAATCCTAAAGTACGTCGCCGTGATCGCGACCGAGATCACGCCGCACGACGACGCCCACGCGCTCCACTCGTACGACGCCGCGCTCGCCTCGCGCTCCGCCTTGGTTCGCGCCTTCCTGCGCGTCGGCGTCTTCATCTCGCTCGCGTGTCTCTGCCCACCCCAGATCTCATCCGAGTCCTCATCCTGCCCATCCTTCATCGGTCGAACGCTCTCGTTATCGCTCACGCCCACCGCGCGCGCGATCGGACGCGCGCTTCGATCCCGCCCGCGCGCGCGTCCGACGCTTATCCGCGCCGACGCGACGGCTCCCCGCACCCCGTCGCCCTCCACGCCACCACCGATCGCGCGCACCCCCCCATCCACCGCGCGCGATCTCACCCCACGGTCTCCCGCGTCCCGCGCGCGTCCATGGCGCGCGCGCGCGCGCGTCGACCGCGACCGTCGTCCCACGACCCACCGACGCGCGCGCTCGACGCGGTCAAAGCCATCGTTCGACGCGTCGACGCGCGCGCGCCCGTTCGCGCGCGCGCGCGGAGGACACGCGCGCACGACGACGCGACGCGCGGGAACGACCGTCGACGACGGCGACGACGACGACGACGACGACGGGCGGTCGGCGTCGGGATGTGCGCGCGCGCGTCGTTCGACGTCGACGTCGCCCATGCGCGCGAGGAGGGATTTTCCGGGGGTTTCGTTTCTTCACGGGTGTAGGAACGACCCAAAAATCTTCATGGCTGGGTTGATACAAATAGGCGAAATATGTGGACACTTCCCAGAAATGACCAAAATGAGCTCGTCAAATGCGCGAACGTTCGCGTAAGTCTTTTATCAGACTAGATCCCTTAAAAGCCTTTCTAGTCTCGAGGGGTTACTGAGATCCGATCATCTATAGATGGTCACGAAAAAAGTACAGGTATTTTTCCGCTGGGATATACCATTTCCAAGAAACTCGGACATTTGATGTGTATTTAATGAAGAAGAAATACTATCAAAAAAGTGGATCGTGCAGGTTTCGACCCCGCTACCTCGCGCATGCAAAGCGCGCGCTCTACCAATTGAGCTAACGACCCAGGGGTGTCTCGGGTCGTGATTCGTGGTCTCGCCTTACACGTGACGCGGACGACGGTGGTGCGGTTGACGTTACGGGTTTTTTCCGTGCCCACGCGTCGCGATCGCGCGCCGACGCCGACGCGAACGTCGACGCGCGCGTCGTCTCTCGCGCGCGCATGTCGCGAGCGCGCGTCGCGAACGCGGTGTCGTCCGCGGCGCGAGCGACGTGGGGGGCGGCGACGCGCGAGAGACGACGACCGAACCTGTTCGACCTCGCGTCCACGCTCGAGGGCCGAGGGATCGGGCGGGCGTTCGTCAAGCGGTCGTGGACGGCGCGGCCGGAGACGCACGGGAACACGTTTTGGCGGCTCACTCGAGTGCGAACGCGACCGAGTGGACGCTCGGGAGAGGCGTACGGGGTGTTGACGTGGAAGGGACGCGAACGCGAGGGTGAGGAGCGCATCACGGGGAGCATGAAGCCGATTTGGGCGCGCGCGAGAGAGTACGAGGGACGAGGCGAGGACGACGCGAGCGGGCCGGTTTTGAAGAGACCGCAGTCGGTGGATGTGATGAGTGGTGAGGAGTGAGTGGTGATGGGATGACGATTGTGATTTTAATTCGAGCGTGCGTGTTTTGTAATAGACGCGACGCGATAGCAAAGAAGAGGCGTTTTCGAGGCGAGTTTCACTCGTTCGATTCCAACGATTTAGCTAAAAGATGATCGCCTCCTGGCCTCGAATATCGTCGCGGTTCATCTTCCTTCCGCGTTCATCGCGCTGGGGTTTCACCTTGGACGCCTCGTGGTTCGCCAGCGCGTCCGGGACCACGTTCTTGCTCTCGATCAACAGCTGCTTGAGCTCGTACATGACGTCCCGGTCGTCCTGGGTGAGGAAGCTCACGGCGGTACCCTTGCGCCCGCCGCGCCCCGTGCGACCGATTCTATGCGTGTAGTTTTCTATCGAGTGCGGCAACTCGTAGTTGACGACAAGATCGATGTTCTTCACGTCGATACCGCGACCGGCGACATCGGTGGCGACGAGAATGTCGTATTCGCCCGCCTTGAAGCCACGCAAGCTTTCCTCGCGCTGATCCTGGGACTTTCCACCGTGAATGCTCGCACAAGAATAACCTAAGCGGTAGCACAAGTTTTGCACGGCGTCGACTGAGCGCTTGGCGTTCACAAAAACGATCGCTTGCGTGTTCGTGTGCCGTGAGAGCACGAGCTCGAGCTTGGAGTCTCTCTCGTGCTTGGCGACCCATATCACCTCTTGCTTGATGAGATCGCTCGTTTTCCCAGCGCTACCGATGTTAACCACGGCTGGGTTTCTTAGGTAACTACGTGCCAAGCGCTCGACACTCGGTGGCATCGTCGCCGAGAACATGTACGTCGTGCGATACTTGGAGGACGCGACGCCGGCACCGGCGTCGAGAGCTTGCGCGTCGAGCGCCTCCGCCTCGTCTTCAGGTTTCAAATTCCCAGAACCCATGGACTCCATCACCGCGTTGACTTGCGGTTCGAAGCCCATGTCGATCATTCTATCAGCCTCATCAAGGACGATGTAGTTGCACTGGCTCAGCACGGTGTAGCGTCGATCGATGACGTCGATGATGCGCCCTGGCGTGCCGACGAGAATCTCCACACCCTTGCGAAGCTTGAACCCTTGGTCCTCGATTGACTGTCCACCAACAACCAAGGCGACGCGGTAGTTTAAGAACTGCGCAAACTTGAGCGTCTCTTCCTCGATTTGTTGCGCCAACTCCCGTGTCGGCGCCATGATGAGGGCATACGGTCCGTGCGCGGCTATTTCATCCGTCATCTTCGGAAGCTGCATGATGTGCGCGAGCATCGGGACAACGAACGCACACGTCTTACCGGAACCAGTCTCTGCGATCCCGATGACGTCGCGCTTGAGCAATCCGATCGGAATGCTCGCCATTTGAATTGGCGATGGCTTGACGTAGCCCACCTTTTCAATGGCGCGCAAAATCTCCTTCGGCAGCCCAGCGCACTCGTCCCACGCGCGCATGGGTAAGGGCAAACGCCCTCCCTTATACGATATGTTAAAGTCTTCGCGAAAGATGCGCCAGTCACGCTCGGTCATGTCCTCAAGCTTCTTATCACTCCAGTGTTCCTTGAACGTCCTCGCCTGCTCGCGTTCCTCAGCCTCCTTGCGTCGTCTATCGCGCTCGGCGTCCAACTTTCGCACGTCACCCGCGGCATCGCTTGATCCCATATCCTTTCTCGCCTTAATCATTAACTCTCGTTCGCGCCCAGCGTTTGACCGAGCTTGTTCTCGACGATCAACCCCGGCGAGCATCCCTCGCCCAAACATCGGCGCAACCTCGTGCGGGCGATCGTACAGCGGATTTAAGTCCCTCGACGTATCCTCTTCCTTGCGCCAATCGAACAAAAATTTCCCTCTATGCTGCTGCACCGGCTTTGGTTTCTTCACAGACGCGTCTTCGCCCATGTACTGCCGCTTCAACATCTCCAATTCTCTCTCGCGTTCCTCTCTCGCCTCGCGCTCCTCTCTCTCGCGTTTCCCCTCGTTTCGTCGATCACCGCTCCCGTATCGCCCCCAACCGCCCCCTCGCTCGTTCCATCGTCCACCGCCGTACCCACCTCCGCGTCCATCGTCTCGTTCGCGTCCGAACCGACTCGTCGCCGCCGGTTTCGTCGCCGCCGCCTCTCGCGCCGTCGCCCGCGCCGTCGCATTCTGTTCCGCCTCCCGCTCCCGCTGCGCCTTCACCTCCGCCTCGCGACGCGCCAACGCCGCCTTCGCCCGAGCTTCCTTACTCACGAACGTGGGCTTGATCGCGGCGTCTCGATCGGCGCGTCGAGCTCGAGCCAGTTCCTCGAGCGAGGGTGGCGCCTGACGAGCGCGTGCGTCGTCCGACATCGTCCGTCTTCGGGGCGACGCGCGCGCGCGAGCGCTCTACGCGTTCGTCAAGCGTGCGCACGGCGTTCGCGCGCCCAGCGGACGCGCGCGGAGGAGTGGGGCGTCACGTACGCGCGACGCGTCGGGAACGGGCGGCGCGCGGAGGCGGCGGAGCGCGCGGGTGGGATTTCGGCTTGAAGAAGACGTTGCGGCGTTACATGCGGTGCGTCGTCGACGGCGTCGAATTGAAACCGCGCGCTCAGGCGAACCAGGACGCGGGATCGGTGTCGAGGGCGAACTTGGCGCCGCCCGCGGGGTCGCCGCCGACGAAACTTCCGCTCTCGGCGATCTCGTACACCTTGCCATTCGTGCGATCGTCGAAAGCGGCGGCCGACATGACTTTCGCGACAAGCGCGCGAGAGATCTCTCCGCTCGTCATCACGTCTTCACCTGTGAGAACTAGGGGCTGTTTTGGTTCATCGTTCTTCAGTCCGGCGGGACGAATGATGACCCACGGGACGCCGCTCGCGCGGAGATAATTCTCACCCTCGAGCTTTTCCTCGAGCACGCGACCGAATGCGTTCGTAATGCGATAGCCCGCGGTATCGGCCGCTCCCATCGCGGGTCCGTTCGTCAGGATGGATGAGATGAGGACCACTTTTTTTACGCCCGCGTCTCTCGCCGCGTCGGCGACGTGCCGAACGCCCAGATTATCCACTTCGTGCGCCGCCGCGTTCATCTTCAAAGGGTTCCCGGGGACGAAACCAGTGCACACGACGACGACATCGAATCCCTCGAACTGGCGCGTGAGCTCGCCGACGTCACGCGTGACGTCGACGCCGGAGGCGACGTCCGCGACGGCGTCCAACCCAAGCTTTTTCGCCTTTTCAGCGCTTCGCACGCCCGCGACGACCGCGCTCGCCTTGCCGCTCTTCGCCAATTCTTCCACCACGAGCTTCCCAGTCGCCCCGGTCGAACCGACGACGAGCACGCGCGGCGCCGTGCCCGCGCGCGCGTCCGCCGCGTCGGCGACCAGACGCAGGAGCACAGGCGCGACGAGCGCGACCCGACGCGTGATCCCCGACCCGAGCGCGTCCGTCGCGGCGGCGCATCGAGGCACCCGTCGCGACGTTGCGCCCGATCGACGCGCGGACGACGCGCGGCGCGCCACCGCGACGGGGGCGCGGGCGACCGCGCGCGCCATCGGGATGGGAGGCGCGGTGTGCGTCCCTGGCGTGAAGAAACGTCAACTTTTGGTGTGCGACGCCGGCGTGTTAAGGCTTCGTCGACGCCACGCGCTGGACGATGACATCGAGCGCGTCCGATTTTTCCCGCACGTCATTCATATTCGCACGACCGAGCGAGGCCGCTCTTAGGGCGTCGTCGAACGCATCGAGCGCTCGCGCGACGTCGCGGCCGAGCTCCGTCTTCGCCGCGTCGCCCCTGAGCCTCGACAGCGACCCGGTCCTGAGCACCCGCCGCGCGTCGTCAAAATCCCTACGAAACAGCGATGGACGTAAATAAAATCAGTCTTTAAACACCTGAATGCGTCCTCGAGGCACGGAATCGGCCGTCGTCGTCGTCGTCGTCGTCGTCGTCGACGCACCCCGCGAGCGCGAGCCGCCTGCACCGCCCCAACTCCTCCGCATCGCTCGTCCCTACTCGCTCGATCGCCCTCGCCGTCGCCTCCGAGCGCTCCCTCGCCTTCAACGCCGCCGTGATCGCCCCGTTATCCGCTCGAGCGACGCTCGCATTGATCAAAATCGCGCTCGAGAGCAAAGTCACCAGTCGTCGGCGTCCAACGAACTTTGCGCCTTTCAACCCGCCGCCGTCGATGGAACGCATCGCTCGCGTCTTTGTCGACGCGTCATCCCGACGAGAGTGATCACGTCGCCGTATGAGCGATCGATCGATGGAAACGCGCGCGTCGACGCTGCGTGCGAGCGACATGAAGTGTACGTCTCTGACGCTTTGCTGCTGCCAACGTGCGCGGAGTTGATGGCGACGGTCGGCGATAGATACGTTTGACGACGACATTGACACGACAAACGAGATGATGAGCTAGACTACTTGGCGCTATGTGAGAATTTATCCCTTGACTACGGCGATGGGTCGTAATTTGACGCACTTCTTTGAGATCCCCGCGTCGTGGCACGTGTTCACGACCTCGGTGACGTCCTTGTACGACTCGGGCGCCTCCTCCATGACGAGCTTGGGCGATGCGACGCGAATGGCGATCCCCTTCGTCTTGAGTTTTTCCAAGACATCTTCGTACTGAAGAACGTGTCGGGATTTGTTTCTGCTTCGCGCGCGACCGGCACCGTGACACGTTGAGCCGAATGTGTCGCGCATGCCTTTCTCCGTGCCCGTGAGGATGTACGAACACGTCCCCATCGTGCCACCGATCAAAACCGGTTGGCCCGTGTACTGATAGTCCACGGGAATCAACGGGTGATGCGGCGGGAACGCGCGCGTGCTCCCCTTACGATGCACCAGGAGCGTTTTCATCTCTCCGTCGACCATGTGTTCCTCAAATTTAGCGATGTTGTGCGACACGTCGTACACGACGTGCATGTCGAGCTCGTCCGGAGGCTTACCAAACATTTTCGCAAACGCTTGACGGCACAAGAACGTCATGCTCGAGCGGTTGACCCAGGCATAGTTCGCCGCGCACGCCATCGCGGCGAGGTAGTCTTGTCCCTCCTGGCTGCTGATGCGCGCGCACGCGAGCTGTCGATCGTTCACCTCGATCCCGTCGCGCTCCATCGCGCGTTCCATCGCGGTGAGCGAATCCGTCGCCACCTGGTGCCCCAATCCTCGACTTCCGCTATGAATCATGATACAAACTTGACCGACGCGATCGATGCCCATCTTCTTGGCCGCGAACTCGTCGTAAATCTCGTCCACGACCTGTATCTCCGCGTAGTGATTCCCGGCGCCGAGCGTTCCCATTTGCGGCAAGCCGCGCTTTTTGGCCCGAGCGCTCACCTTGCTCGGATCCGCGTTCAGCATCCGTCCGTACTCCTCCGTGTGCTCCTTATCCTCCGCCCACGCGTACCCTTCTCTCAAACTCCAGTCCATCCCCATCTCCAGCACCGCCTCCAGCGCCGCCGGCGTCGTCGGAATGATCCCGCGACTCCCCACGCCCACCGGTATGTGATCAAACAACGACTGCGCCAGCGCTTCCTTCACCGGTCCAACCTCCGCCTCCGTCAAATTCGTCCGCAACAACCGCACGCCACAATTTATATCGAATCCAACCCCACCCGGCGACACGATGGACGTCTCGTCCCCGACGTCGAACGCCGCCACGTTTCCAATCGCGAACCCGTACCCGCTGTGCACGTCCGGCAACGCGATCGACGCCCCCACCACCCCCGGCAGCGCCGCCACGTTCGCGATCTGCTTCAACGCCGGGGAGTATCCACCCCCTCGGTGCGCCGTCGCGTCGCAGTACGCCGCCAATTCCTCGAGCACTAACGCCCGGAGCGCGGCGTTGACGTACACGACGCCATCGACGCGCATGTTCGGGACGAATCCGCGCGCGACGCGCACGCGGTGGGCGTCATCGACGGTGACGTACGCGGCCTCGTCGTCGTACGTGCGCGCGGGCGCGGCCTCGGTCGCGGGCGCCATCGCGCGCGGTGTGCGGCGACGCCGCCGCCGACGATCGATGCGGTCGGTGGGACGCATGCACGAGTCAGGACTCGTGGAATGATGGCCACCGGCGACGCATCGCGCGCCATCGCGTCGGCGACCGGGCGATCGGGCGACGCACCGCGACGCGCACGTCGCGACGCGCGCGCGATGCGGGTGTCGTTCAAAACCTTGTGCGTGCGCGCGACCTCGAGCGCGGGCGCGCGCGAGAGAGCGCGCGCGCGTGGACGCTCGGGGCGACGGGACCGTCGGGCGACGCGACGCGTCGTCGAGGGCGCGTCGATGGGTGGCGGGCGCGGCGACGGGCGCGCGCGTCCGCGGGTGAGAGGGGGGGAGGGTGACGCGCGTCGTGACGCGTGACTGACGAATCGGCGGCGATGGCGACGACGCGCGCGCGTAGGACGAACGCGAAGTTTGATCTGGAGCTCGATTCGGAGACGACGGTGGGCGAGGCGAAGGCGCGCGTGCGCGAAAATCAAGGATACGGCGATGAGAGCGTGGTTTTGGTGCACAAGGGGAAGGTTTTGAGCGATGATGGAACCTTGGGGGGGGCGGGGGTGACGGAGGAGTCGTTCGTGGTGGTGATGGTGCAAAAGGCGAAGGCGGCGCCGAAACCGAAACCCGCGCCGGCGGCGGCGCAAGCGGCGGCTCCAGCGGCGGCTCCAGCGGC